GGTCCATAATAGGTGCTATAATGTGATTTTGTTTACTGCTATAATTGATATTTTCCAAGCCTGGACAACCACATTATAATATTCTCTGCAATATATTCATTGTCAATGTACAATGAAAGATATACTGATTAGTAGACACAAGACCCATTACTTGCTGGGTACCATGAAACTTACCTTATAAAATATCAAGCTACTGAGGCCAGCTAAAAGTCTTACATCAGCCATGTAAGACTTTCAGCTGGCCTCAATAGCTTGATATTTTATAAGTTAAGTTTCATGGTACCAAGCAAGTAATGGGTCTTGTGTCTACTAGTCAGTATATTTTACATTTAATTACATCAGCCATGTAATTCACTGTTTCTCATGTCAGAGTTCTGCTTTGGATTTCTATTTTTACTTCCTTTTGCCTTTGAATTAGGGTTGGCTACTTTTAATAGAGAACTGTTTAATTTGCTGTACTTAACTATTTGCACGGCCAGCCCTGGTTTTATATTTTATTATCTATACAGACTTTATAATCTATACAGACCTAGAATCACAAAGGAAGAAAAAAATTAATCTAATTATACAATACTGAAGGCATTGTAACACTCTGTCTTTATCCAATCTGAGTTGGTCACTGGGACCAGAGGTTTAGTCTTCTGGGTTTTTGGACTTGTATTGGAGCTCATTCTCAGGAAACTACATTCTGGTAGAGAGACGTTTTCTGAGAACTTCTCTCTACATTTCACACATTCTGGCAGAGGGAAGTTCCCTGAGGATGGGCTCCAGCATGAGTCCAAAAGCTTGGGAGATTAAACCCAGTGACCAACCCAGATTGGATCCTGCAACATTATCCTGGGACATATATATTTGCTTTCATTCGTAAGACTGTCTTTAATACAAAATTGATACAGACAACCACATATTTCAACTGTTTATATAACGATGCATTGGCCATAGTTAATTACCTACTGTTTTATAATACATGATATGTCATAAATTAATGTTATTGTATTTCTCACTTATGCTGCTTTTCATCAATTAAATGTCCAGTACAATTTATGTATACATCATTATATCCTTAAGAATCACACCCTGCTTTTTATTTGGAGTAAATGTTTTGCATAACTAAAAAGCAAAGCAGTTGCCATGTAAACAGCATAATTCTCATTTACAGGAAATTCATGCTTGATTCTACCTTGGATTATTCATAGGCATCATACTATATGCATTTTACTGTGCAACAACCTGATAGTATGTCAAACATTCATGGTTTTGACAGCATCTTAAATATACAAAGGTAGAGTTCTCTATTGCAAAGTTTATTGATAGCTTCTCTCAGAATTTAATAGACTAGAGAAAGTTATTGTAGAACATGTTTATAAGTAGCAGACAGTTTAATGTCATTCTTGATATCTACAGGAATTCAATAAATAAAATTAATACGTTGGATCTAATGTTTAAAAGGGGTGCTTTAAACATATAGTCATCTTAGAAAAGTATTTATTAGGAAATTGCTCTTATACCCATGCATACATATACACATATACTCTTGTTTAAAAGAAAGCAGAAAATTTAAATCTAATAGAATAATATTGAAGATCTTCTAATCCAAGTCCCTGCTCAAAAGAAGCCCCTACCATTTCAACAAATGATTGTCCAATCTCTACTTAAATACTTCTGAAGGCAACTGTTCCACTGATTAATTGTTCTAACAGTCAAGAAATTTCTCCTTAGTTCTAGGTAAGGTTCTCTCCTTGATGAGTTTCCATCCATTGCTTCTTGTCCTGCCTTCAGATGCTTTGGAGAATAGATTGACTCCCTTTTCTTTGTTGCAGCCCTTTAGATATTGATATCCACTGATATCATGTCACTTCTTTTCAAATATCTTCTCTTGGTTCCTATTACTATGAAACATTTATCCTGAGAAAATAAGGTAGGGACAGCATGTAGAGCATGGATTCTGGAATTCTTTCACACAGCAGTTGCCATAAAAATATATGTATTTTCTTTGGTATAACAGATAACTTGTTATGTCTGTGTATGTGTATTTCTGTTCTCGCTTTGTTGTACACCCATATGGGCTTATCTATAGATGCATTAGGAAGTACATGACAGACTTTAAGTAATGGAACAATGAGGAACAGGGCTCAGGCAGAACATTGCCAATAGTCTGAGCTGCTATCTAATTACCTCTCCCATAGGAATGCACAGGATTTTTTTCCTGAATATTTTTCTCTGTAAACTCTGGTCTGATTTCAATCTGGGCTATTTTCTTTTGCCATATTCCACAGATCTATTTTTGTCTTGTCCCAGTGTTTTAGTTTTCCGATACATTCTCTTGGGTTGGAAATAATAAAAATTAGAAATGATTAGATGGTATTTTTATTAGGGAGTATGGATATGGGTAGAATATGGGTTATTTTAGGAAAGACAGCAATGTCAGTAGGTGAGAAATAAACTCTGCAGAAAAGAATGAAAACTGACCTGTACTTATTGACATATTTAAGGAATTTATGTTTTGTTACCACACTTCAGCTATCTCAATTCCAGATGAGATCAGTGCAGAGAAGTTATTCTTTCCTTGTATGCATTGATATTGGCAATTTTCTATACTGAAGTTGTCAATATCCATAATTATCAGATTCAGTATATGTTTTATGAATGAAACATTATTCCTACAGATTTTCTTCTCCAAATCAGAATGTTAAACAAGATTTATAAGCATTCAAAGATCTGCGCCTACATTGAATGCAAGAGTCTAATTTTATTTCATTTTAATTCCTCATTCTCACTGAATATCTTATTGCTATGAACTATGTAATTAGACAGTCCATAGGCCACCAAATATCCAATTTGATTATTTTTCCATATCCAGAAAAAAATATCTGTTGTTTTGGTACTGAGCAGACAGTTAAATCTCCAAATTTTCATTAGGGTTGACACTGCAGAGTGAACATTGAACAAGTGACATCAACATACATTCTCAGAGAGCAGTGGGATAATGCATTAGTAATATGGTATAGGCATGGGTTCATGGATTACTAGCATTATAAGCTTGAAAAAAAATGAGCTTTTTCAGTACTAAAGAGTAATAAAACTAATAAATCTTTTAGACTGAATCCAGGCAAGATTATTCATTACTCATCCTGAGGGAGTGTATTTTCTTTCAATGTCCAATTTCATAAATAAATAGAATATATCCTTATTCTATTTTAATTGTCCTTTAGCTGCCCATTCTGCAGAAATGCACATCAGAGGGCTGGTATATCTGCATAAACAACTTGTCCTATATTTATGTATACGTACAGTTCCTAGAAAAATGGCTTCTATTCCGAAATCATACAAGAACTTTTTTAGATGTTTTGGATTTCAACTCTTATCAGACTTAAGAATGCCAAGGAATTGTTGGAGTTCTAATCAAAAATATCAGGACGGCAACAGGTTTCCCATCCCTGCTTTCTGCAGGTAGTGAGATTGTTTTTTCTCCTGTCCTCTAAATTCTGTTTAGGATTATTGTGGTCTTTGTAGCAGTAGATGGAATCATATCTAAAATGTACTTGTAAATGGATTGGGTAGTTACTCCATACCTATTGTAGCAACTTCAATTAATTATGATTTTCTAGGTTAGTTCAGTATTATTTCTTACCTTCAGTCAACATAAAGTTTCAGCATCCAGAGATGAACATTATTTTTCATATATACAAAGCTACACTGAGAAATAAGATATAGTTACAAGTTTAAATGAAGTCATAGCTCAAAACTACAATAATAAATTTTATTCTGAAGGAAAAGAGAGTAAAATGTTGCCAGTGCAGCAAGTGAACTGCTATTGAGCTATGATCCTAATTGTCTCATTTCCATCGATTGGTTTGCAAATGAATGAAACAAAATGAATTGGTTTGGCATAGGGTTGAAATATACCTTAAACTTTGAAGTTCTTTTTTGTTGTTTTGGCTTGCATTTGAGAAGTCAGGAAACATACTTTAGATATGCATTTTAAATTAAATTATATGTAATAGACATACATTGATGAACATTTTTCCTATTTTTTATTTTGGTTTTATAAAGGCATTACAGTACTGATGCAATATCAAAAACATGTCTTTTGAAGCTACGAAGATTTGTTTGTTAAATTTGACTCCTTTTATCCAGGGCTACCAGGTGTTTTACCTCAGAACAGTCTTACTATTCTCTATCTTGTATCTTTCTCTGTATTAACATTTCATATAAAGATAATATGTTAAATGAATCAACAAATGTGTTCTGTGGAAAAATATTCTTAAATTTTGTTAGGTCAATTCATGGATTAGCTTCTCAGTCAGCAGTACAAATTAGTAAGATTATATTGCATATCTGGATTTTATGCAGTATATTATCCTAATGGAAATAACAGTATCTGAAGCACATTTATGAAAACTAGAGACAGAACAGATAATTCAAAGGATTATTTTGTGATGAGCTTCTATTATTCTAGTCAATGTTTTCTCAAATTATATTTTAATATAAAAGGTCATACACTTTCTTAAAGATCTTAAGCTGAGCCATGTACTATTGCCAATAACAGAATAAGTTTCCAAATAAAGTAAATGGGGTAACAGAATTGAGTGACATGTGGTAGGCATGTTAGAAAAGTAAACTGTGTGGCACACACCTGCTTTTTGGCTGTGCTGTACCACAAGTTAGCATTTTGGATGAGCAGTTTCCGTTCTGTTGTTTTCTCTCAACACATGGTGTTCAAAACAGTTAAAAAGAAAACTATGCCCATTTGTTCATCTCAGAAGCTAGCAATTTCTGAGAATTCTGCCAGATTTTTTAAAATTTATATATACACTGTATGTACATATGTTATATATACACTGTATGTATATATGTATGTATGTATGTATTTAGTATGTATGTATATATGTATGTATATGTATGATTTATATATGTGTAGATAGATATATAGAGAGATAACATATATATACGAATCCTGGGTAAATCCATACTATAAAATAATCCGAACACCAGGATAATACTAAAACCAAAACTGTTTAATTAAAAGCTGAGCCTTTCATCGGTCAACACTACCGACATCATCAGAGCATGATGCAAGATTGCTGGGAGTCCTTCTTATGCTGCTGGGCAGCTTTGCGCTCAGTCCTTGACCTGGTTACCGGTCCATCCATTCTCTCTATCTTGTTTCTTAAAGGGCCCACATCCTTTATTGTGTTAATGCCCTCCGAAGTTGCTGTTTCCTTCCTCCTGGATCCAACCACTCTCAGTTTCTGCTCGCCCACTCTCACATCTGTCATCCTCTCTATCCCCATTTCGTGGTCCGTTAGATCCTCCCTGGACTGACTATGCTTGCGTGCGTTCGGGGGAGGGTGTGTGTCAAGCAGGTCCGGACGCCTATTGGCACAATCCCTGGCGGCTGCATTCCTGCATACATTCCTCCACCCAGGGACGCTGTTTTCCTCCTCAAGTGTCCGTGAGTATGCTGTACTGCTTCTAGTTGTCCCCCTCCTCTTGAGGCTCTTCATTACTTGCTCGCACGTTGGGTTCATCAGTTGTTTTGCTCTTTTTGCACACGTGTGGGGCCTCACAACATCACTTTCCATCATAGGTCTCTGTTTTCCTTTCCTATTCATGTCGGTAGAATAACCCATCTCTCCCCTCATGTTAGCAGGGATTGTGGAGCAGGTGTCCCGTGAGCTATCATCCAACCCCCTTTGTTGTTCACCCCCATCGTTGTTTTCCCTTTTTATGGGGTGAGTTGAAATATGCTTATCTGGGATACCTAGGGGGGGAATGTTTCTTGTTCCTTCTCTGTTCTTCTTATAGGTTCTTTGTCCCGTGGATGGGTTATCTCCTCTATTCTTCCTTCCCTCTGATTTTGTGAGGGATGTGCCAATTGTCTTTGTTGTGGATTCAGATGTTGTTGTTCCCATACCTTAAATCTTTGGTATGCTGGGCAAAGCTCTACTTAAAGAAGCCTGGCTTTCCAATGGCGACTCCATCAATCACCATATAGAGCTTTGCCCAACATACCAGACCTCACATATTATAACACTACAAATTGCTCGCAGATGATTTCTGACCATTGGGGAGCGATTCTTTTGGATGCATGACCTTGGACCTAAGGGTGTGCTCGGGCCTATGGGCAACACTCACATTGTAGGGGGCCAACAGCCGTGCCCTCGGAGACACCATGGATGTAAGGGAGGGTTGTTCGTGTGGCCGGCATTGCTGTCACATTGGAGCGTGAGTCTCTATGATTTCGATGTGGTCTACAATGCTGTCTCACAAACCCCATGGGATAGCCATTGCACATGAAGATGTGATGAAGATGTTTTTTCTCCTCGGCTTTAGCTCTGCCCATGCTACAATGGGAATTAACCCGTTTAAATAGCGTCCGGATGCAACTGATTTTATGTGCTACTGGGTGGTTGCTATTATAACGTAGCATTCTGTCTCTATGGGTGGGTATACAGACGTGCACAATGTGCCATTAGGGTGTCGGCTGATCAGTACATCCAGAAAGGCAAGATTGCCTTGGATCTCTTCTTCTGCGGTGAAGTAGATGTGTGGATATACAAGTTCAGTTCCTCCAAGAATTTGGCGCTATACCATCTTTTGACAATCGCAAAAGTATCATCTACATATGGTCAAAGATCATCTGTGGTTTACAGAATTAATTGCAAAGATTGTGCAAGCAATTACGTTGGGGAAACTACTAAAAGACTGAGGACCAGGTTCATGAACATGAACTGGCTATTAGAAGGCAGGAGCAATGCTCACAAGTGTGGGCCCATATGTCCAGCTCTGGCCACACGTTCAATCTGGCTAACACAGAGGTTATAGTTTGTGAGACTACCAAGGGTGGACGCCTAATCAAGGAAGCCTGGCTCTCTAATGAAAATTCCATCAACTGGCATATAGATATTTTGCCAGCCTACCAGACTCTTAGGAGATGGGAAAAACAGCACCATGGACTGTTGAGAAGACATTTAACTCTTCCTTGGCAGGATTGGGGGGTAGAATTATGGATGAGACAGGCACGATCTCTAAGGAAGACGACAGCGTTTTATATAATTGGGACGATGGCTCTATAGGTGGGACGACCACGACTCCCATGAACCGAGATGATGGACCAAACGGCCTTAAGCCAGGGATGAAAGCACTGAGGCGATCTGGAAGGAGGGAGAGAGAGAGAGAGAGAGAGAGAGAGAGAGAGAGAGAGAGAGAGAGAGAGAGAGAGAGAGAGATCATATATGCATTTTTAGCTGATATTTATATAGAGATAGATGGAACTTGTATTTTCAAATGCAAGGGTAATGCCATAAGAAAGCAACTGAAATTAATTAATTCAAAGCAATTACCAACAAGTATATATGTTTTGGAAATAGTTTCCAACTATTTAGTTTCCAACTATTTTGAATTATTCCAAATAGTTTTCCAATTATCCAAACTATTCCAACTATTCCAACAAATGAATAGTTGTTCATTATGTATATACACATTAAAGTATATTACTAAAATATATAGAAAGTATCTAACGGTGCTACTTCCAGACAATGCATTTACAGTTAATCAACAAAATACATTTTAGTTTCTCAGTAATTTAAAAATTTATAGCCATTGATAGAATTTGGGTTCCAATGAAAGAATACAATTACTCTTTCATTTTGTGATATTAGTAAAGATGTGCTATGGCTCTAATGCATGACATTTTTCTAGAAGCTAAAAGAATCAAAGTATTAAGGTCAAAGAAGGTATCCTGTCATCTCTAATTTGTACAAGTATAAAATTATGCTGCTGAATTAAATATTAACAAATTCAAACAAAGAGATTCAAGTGAGATTTATTTGATATAATAAATAAATTTAACTGAGATCAAATAATATAGCTTGTGATGTATTTTTGACTCCTCAAACAAACTAATATACAAAGCTGATGATTGTGTAATTTGAAAATGGAATGATTTTCCGTCCCAAATATAAATTGATGTTCACCATCATTAACAACACCCTATGTTGATGTATTATTAACTGGAAAATGTTCCTTTATTCAAAAACACAAAGAGCTCAGTCCAATACATATTTAATATTTCCCAAAAAGCATTGGTACCCTTCTAGGTTTTCCCAAGGAATCTCAATTTTCCATGAAATAAGTTGAAACTGATACAAGTGGCATCCATCATTCTTTATTCCACTTTGCTTTTGATATATGATTTAACATGTTGTAAATAATAAAACTAATGTAAACAGTGTAGACATAATTATTGCTACCACATGGAATTAAAAGATGGCATTGGATTTAGCTGCTGGATAATCACTCCAGCAGATTATTTTAGTTAGAATAAAAAATGACTTCAGTCTCATAATCTATCACTTAGCCTATTGGAATGTCCACATTCAAGCATTCTGTGTCATTGTGTGCAGCACAGTGACCATGGACAAGAGAAAGAAAAGCAGAAAGTTGTCTGTGGAGGAAAGAAAGAAGATAATAAACACGGTAAAGGTATGGACTACAAAATCATCTTGAAAAACTTCCTTTCAACAGTTGTTATCGGGAGGATTAAAGTTCACGAAAGTCCTAGCTTCTTGGATGTGACCACAAGATGAAAATTAACCCCAAACTAAACAGGAGGATAGTTTGAATAATGGAGAAAAAAAATCAAGGAAAATGTCAAAACAAATCCTGACTGACCTCCAAGATACAAAAGTATTAAGTCAGACCATACATCACTATCTGACTGAGAGTGGCCTCTGTGGTAGAGATCCAGGAAGACCCCACTTCAAAAAAATAGACTCAAAGCAGCTAGACTGGAGTTTGGTAAAATGCATGTTGACAAGCCATGGTCCTTCTGGAAGAATGTCATGTGGACAGATAAAACCAAATCACAGCTTTTTAACAGCCCTAAGTTCACAGAAGAAAAAAACACCAATCCTACTGTGAAACATGGAACAGATTTCATAATATTACGGACACCCATCACTGGGTGCCTTGAATCTGTGCAGGGCACAATGAAATCAGAAGACAGGCAAGGAATTCTAATGTGAAATATAATGCCCAGTGTAGAAAGCTTGTGTTCAGTCACAGATCCTTCAGAGGATAATGACCAAAATATACATCTAAAGAACCCAAGAATGATTGCAAAGCAAACAATTGACCATTTTGAAATGGCCCACTATGTCCTGAGCTGAATCCAATAGAATACTTATGGAAAATGCTGAAACTCATAAGGAATCCAAGCTGTTTGTTCAAGAAGAGTAGGAAAAATAGCCGGTTGAAAAGTATAGAATCTTATTCAGAGCTACATAAAGGATTTCATTACAGTTATTAGCTCAAAAAGGTATACTATGAAATATTAAGTTATGACTACCAATAATTATGTCCATGCCATTTTCATTTGTTTTATTTACAAGAATATGTTGTTATACATCAAAAGCAAAGTTTTTACTCTATGGACTATAGAATAAAAAATGGATGTCATTTACTTATCTTAGTTTCAACTTATTTCACAGAAAATCAAATCAAGGTTGACTTGATCATCCTGGAGAAGGCTGATCTGGCATGTATCACCAAAACATGGCTGAGATTCCTCTCTCAAAAATGTACACAGCTGATATCAAGGGTGACAGCAGCCTAGACTATAGGTAGGGCAGGTGGTACGGCTGTTGTTATTGGAGCATTTCTGATTGTTACTAGGAAAGTCACTCCACAATTATCCCCCTGTGAAGACTATTTTTCTTAGGGTGAGCTCTAGCAATCAGTTGAGATTGCTGCTTTTATACCAGCCTCCCTCTTCTTAGCCTGCTGGGTTGGTGTTGGAATTTCCCAGGCTTATGGTTCTGGGGGATTTTCAACTTGCCTTCCCTGGGAGTGGGATTGGAGTAGCTTTGGAATTCATGGAAACCATGACTTCCATGAGCCTATCTCAGTTACATCTTCCTGGCCCAGAGGCTCAGAGCAAAAAAGCAAGATATGTCATGGGTCCCATCTGTTAGGGAAGTACATCTAGTGGGATTAAGGAAAAGGACTTCCTTTGTGATAGCTCCCTCCATTTGGAATACCATTCCCACATAGATAAGAGTTGGTCCCACCTTGATACATTTTTGGAAGGCCCTGAAGATATGATTCTGTCAGGTGGCCCCAGATTGATACGGAGCCGATCAGGTAGCTCATGTGATTGTGAGAACTGGGGGAGGGTGGCTTTATGGATACTTATATTGTAATATTTTAATGTTGTAAACTTCCCAAGTCACCATAAGTTGGGTGCTCATATAAATTTAATGTATAATAAATTGGTATTGTTTGGTGAAAAGTGGAGGAGTACCAGTATATTTGGTTGCATCCATAGGAATGTGAAGGGGTTCAATCTGTGAAGCACCTAGAATTCAGGTGCCTAGGCCTGGAATTTATACCCCCAGACGCACTATATGGAACTAGCAGTATAGGAAGGAACTATGATTAAACAGTGTCCCTTACTTCCCTAGTGGGTATAGGAGGTACCCTGATTTACTCTATATTTAGGTAGTAAAAGGATACACACACACACACACACACACACACACACACACAAAGTTATTGTGAACCTGATATAACCCTGGTTCTGCTAGTTATTCTGCTTACATGATAAATGTATAGTTTTAAGGTATGTGCTTTTTTTCTGTGAATGTTGACAATTCTTTATGTCTAACCCTTTCTGGAATTGTTTCTAATGATAGTCATAAATGATTACTACCAAAAAATAAGAATTAAGACATTTGTAAAAATATAAATAGCTCTACAATTATTTAAGGAAATATAATTGTTTTGTGTAAGTCTGTAATGCAACCAGCATTAAATACATAGCGTGTTGTAACAGAACTCTGTTTGGTTATTCTTTGTAGGAATCAAGACAAATTTTTCATTTTGTAAAGATTGACAAGGATACATGCAACATGGAGTTTGCCAATTTTTTTTTACAAAAATATGAACTAATGACCTCTGTCCATTTTTTGCCAGAATGTAATAATGAGATTACTAGAATGATTCTAGAATAAGAAAAACATTATAAAAGCATTTTAAAGTGAAAGACTAAATAAGGAATAATTTATCTAAAATATTATGTTTGGTTTTTGAAAGGAAAAAATAAGGCCACTATGAATCTGAAATAAATTGGCAGTAAATGCATTTAATAAATAATAAATAAATTATCTACTAACTTGGTATTATTTATTAAAGTTATTCTGATTTCTGCTTTTTAGAAGAAATATTGGCACTCTAGAACTCCTGTTTGGACATTAGAATTCAGCATTTAAGTATTGGCGAAAGCTTCTTCCTTTTCCATTCACTAGTCACTCTGCTAATTAAATCATGTATACTTTATTTTTTTCCTGAAGGAAACATTTAACTGTCATCTGTTAGACTGAGCAAAGTATAGGATAACTTTGTGGATGAGTGTCATCTGTTAGACCTTGGTGAAGTTTGCAGTCCCTCTTGCTTTTTTGCAAGTCCATAATTAGGGATTTGCTTTCTCTGAATATAATAGGATGTGTTTTTTAAACTGTATTTCTTTCAGGACTGTTTCCCACTTTTTAAAAATTATAGAGGATCTCAAAAGAGCTTTTTTTATATAGGCTATATTGATGAATATTTACCATATTAAAAATTTAAATTAATACATTTGCTGTCGCTAGCACTTCCCATGATTGTTTGATGGGATTTTGTATTTTGTTCCCACATAGATTGGCAAATAATTTTGATTTTGATGACCTCCGGATAGAACAACATTTTAAGAAACACTATAATAGGATAGCTGTAGCAGCAAAGTATATGTCAGTGTTAGAATCAACAGCCTTACAATTTTAATTTTCACATTCCTTCAATCTGAGTGAGAGTTTCAGATAGTTATACTGCCACCATTCTTGAATGGGCTGATAGCCTGTAAAGAGGATATAAAGTGACAGAATAGGAAATCCAATAGTGGTGAATATCTGTAGCTCAGATGTGGGATGAGGGTGAAGTTTTGTTCTCTGAGCTTGTTGGTTGGTTTCCAGATGTTTGATTACGAGACTAAGTAACACCTTCAAAGGAGTTTGGGGATGCCAGTGTCAGTGTTCTTTTGTTTATAAAAGCTTCAGGTGTGGGTGTGTCAAGTGAGGGTCTGTGATGGGTTTTGTGATGGGTCAGGTATGAATCATCA